TAAATGCAAATTTTGGGGTTAAAAGTGAAACTAGGGGAGTCTATGTTATTTCTTGGCACTTTGGGATCCTAAAAACATGATCTGATATTCAGTGTGTGTTTTGCAGGCAAGTGTGTGTGTAGGAGCACATGTGGAGTAATTACTCAGGAGGACTCTGGTTTGGCAGCTTCAGGGGCTGTAGTCCTCTGTTTATCACAATCAAAGGTTATGATATATACATCCCCACCCCATGCCCCATCTCTTTGCCTCATACCTGTCTTGAATGAATCATAGCAGTGGTGAGCAGGATATATAATGGCTTTGCTTATTAATTCTATGCCTTTCCTGTGAAGTTCCCAGCTGCCACATCACTTGGGACAGGACACTTTTCCACTGGATTGGGATTATTCATTGTATTAATGGGAGCTATGTTTCCTCTACACTGTCTTCTCTTTCCTTCTATAAGCTCTTTGTTGTTTGCACATCACTGGAGCACTCCTGTGCTGCATCTTATGACCAACTGCCACCAGCCTTGTACAGTCTCATCTTTTTCCTTTCAGCCATCAAACTTTTCAATTCTACTTTCTGGTTTTGGAATAGGTGCTGTAATTTTCTGTATGTTTATATCATGCCCAATGCAGGAGAATCCTCATCTGTGACACATGTCTCATTAATTTGAGCCTTGGGCAATGATTTTTTTGGGGGGAGTGTTTTGTTACACTGCAGATATAATTATAGTGGATTTTCTCTCTTACTACCCTGATAAATTGTTATCAAGAGGTTATTATTACATTAAAATAGTCTACCCTAGTAAATCATTTTCAGAGTGCAAATTCCCATTAATTCCATTTCAATAAAAGTCAATAGTTGTATCTCCCCAGTTTGGGCTGATCTCACCCTCTGCACTTAACACAAATGAAAACATGCCTGTGTGTACACTTGCACACCCATGGTGGTCATGTGTGCTCAAACAACTCCTCACTTTGCTCTCACCCCCTCCAAGGTGGATGTGCCAGATGCTCTAGAGCTGGTCCCAGAGGAGACACTCCCATCTCTTGCAAGCTCTTAAGTTCTCATCTCACCAGCCAAAATATTTCAGAAGAATTTTCAGAAACGCAGGTGTGTGCAGTTGTGAGGATCAGCTTGCTTTGAGCTACATGGCTGTTTCACCTTACAGCAGCCATGCTCTCAAGGGCAATTATCTCTATAGTAATTAACAAGGGAATTTTCTCTGATGCTGCAGCATGAGTCATGCAGCTTCCAAAAGATTAGTTTGTTAGTTACTGAATAAAATGTTTGCAGATGTACTTTGCTGTGATAACATCTCTGACTGGGGATGACTCATTACAGATGCAGGAGTAAAGATCTGCAGGGCCAAAATGTGACTGCATGATCCAGAATTTTAGGCTCCTCTAGCAGCTAGCATGACCCCAGTGTCAGCAAGAGGAATTTGGTTCTGCAGTAGAGCCCAAAGGGGAAAAAGTCCTTTTGCCTCTTCTCCTCACTGCCTCTATATTAGCAGGGAAGGATAGGTGGCAGTCCTTTGCTCTTTGTAAGAGCTGGAGTGCCCTTCTTGAGGGGCAGGAGAAGAGATATCTTGGGCTGCTAAGTCTCTTCCCTGAAACAAGACAGCAAAACTGGGCCAAGTCATACCAAACAGTGCAACAAAGTTCATGCTTTCTTAGTATTTTGTTTATTGAGTTAAAGATGAGCTTTGGGACACCCAATTTCAGCCTTGTAAGAAACCACTTCCTATTAGCTTCCATATTTTTTTCTATTCTGAAGTGTCTGTTTTAAGCATTTTTTAAATAACAAGACCCTGTTATCAGACACTGGGTTGCATTGCAAACATCAGTGGTTCTGCCTTCTGCAAGTACCCAAGACATGGGATGTACAACCTAATTCCTTCGTCTGGAATACAAATCCTCATCAACTTTGATTAGTATTAACCTTGAAAGTGCTACCCCTGACTCATGCCAGTTAGCTGTAGGAGAGTCAGAGCTGCAACCCATGAATGAAACTGGAATGTATTTGAGACTAAACTTAGTAGCACAAATTGTGAAGAGTAAGGTAAGTAGGCTTTAGAAGTCATTTCAGTTAGGGTCTTCTGATGGTGTGCACAGCAGGAGAATGCTTTAAGGACTTGTTAGCTGACAATTCCTAGTGAGTTCCATGCATGAACTGGCACACACTGTGAGTAGGGATTGACCCTGTCTGTGTGCACTGGGTTTAACTACAGCCAGCTCTGGAACAGAAAACTCTGACAAACAAAGAGAAATAGGATTTAACTCTGGAAGTCCTAGACTTCTGAGTGTGAGCAGGGAACTGCTTCCACAAATGCATGGAGTGATCAAGGACTTTGAGGGAATAACTGTTTGTTCTTGGGGACCTGTGTCAAAATTGCTTGGGAATTAATCCTCTGCTTTGCTTTGGCATTCTTTATATTGACAGAGAAACATTAGGAACAAGCATATTGCTGCAATCTCCTTCTGTGGAAAAAACCCTTCAGTTAAAAATTCAAGACAAATTAAAAATGGAAATAAAGTCCATTCACCATATCTTACTCTACCATATGTAGAGTAATCAGATTAGGATTGTCTTCAGTTTTGCTGGCGTAATAAACAGAGCATCTGTCAGAAACACTGTTTCAATGACACAAAAATGAGTGACTACTTCCCTTTATCTCTGTTCACTAGTTTACAGAAGAGAAAATTCTGCACCTAAATTAGCCCAAAATTTGAAAATCTAATCAATGCTTGAAGAGGGTCATGAAATGAGCAGTGCAATCCTTTCACATTATTCCTAATGCCATATTTGTGTTTAAGGGTGTGTTGGCCTTGCTTCATGGTAGGTTCTGGTTTTGTAATTTAATTTAATTTCTTTCTTATTATAGGCATGCAGCTTGCAAATCTAATAATAAATTTTCAGTAAATATTACTTTGGGAGGCATCTGTTCCTTAAGGAAGCCTTAGAACCAGTTTTTGTTTTATTTAGAAAATATACACAATGTAAATAGACCTTGGAAGATCTCGTGCAAGGCCAGGGATGTGGTGATATGAATTTGGCTTTCTTTATCCTTATTTATCCTTATGTCACTAGAGGCAAGCCTCCTGGATGCACAAAATTCACTGGATGCACAAATTCACAGGTGTTGTGGTTCATATCAGTTGAGGATTTTCTCCTCAAGGGAAGAGTAGCCTTCAATGGAAAGAGATGTTCAGTGAGACTGAGATTTTTCTTTTTTGCTTACTTCTGGCCATTGAGTCAGCTGCAGTGTTTGTACCTCAAAAGCTGTAAAATGTTACATGAACACATTGTGTGGTGTATCCATTGTGAGCTTATTTAAATGGGCAGCATCCAGGGAAGGGGTACGTAGACACCCAGTGCCTGCAGCCCCTGCAGTGGTAGAGGATGGATGAAGTCAGATAGGTCTGAATGATGCCCATGGACATACCAGTCCCTAGGAGGCAGAGGGGTGAAAGCCCCCAGTTTCACCTACAAACTCCCGTTCAACCCTGTATTTGGCCCCTCACAGACGAGAGGCACCTCGGGATATTTTTCCTTGCACTTACCCATTATTCAGGCTTGCACAGGCTCCTTTCTCCAGATAAGGCCCTTCCCAAGTATTCAAGTGGTAGAAAAATAACAAAAAAATACAGATAAGAATATGTCTATCCCCACTCATAAAAGCACTCCTTCCTGACCTCTGGGACTGTCTGGATGCCCAGTATCCCTGAAGCAGGTAGCTTGACTACAGGGGGTTGCTGCAAAGCTGTATCAAAGCTGCATGAGGCTCTCAGAGGGCAATGCAAAGCTGGTCTTGTTCCACAAAGCTGGTCTTGATCCACAAAGAGAAGACATGAGTACAACTCTTACCTTGATATTTCAAGATTACAAGGACCCCCATGACTTCTATCTTCTGCAATTTTCTGTCGAAAACTTACTACTGTCTGTATTATAAGAATGAATATTGTGAGAGATAGCTAATCCAAAATTTTGAGGTCCAATAATAGCTATTTAAGAACTATTTTAGCTTTTTATGTGGTCCTGAGAAACTTGCCAGGCTTGAGTATGGATGTTGGACAAGATGACCTTCCTTCAAACTCAGCCATTACTGTGTTTCTGTGGACTCCATGCTAGTCTCTACCTCCTCTGATAAACTCTTTGAATTTAATTACCCACTGTTTCATTCTTTATTATTCAGATACTCTAATATCAGGCTACAGTCGAAAATTTCTGAGCTTTTGTTGGTTTGGGATTTGATAAAATGTTGTATTTAGTTTATGTTAGACTAGTGGCTTTATGCAACTTAATGTTACCAAAGATGGCAGGTGATTAAGGCCCCAAGTTTGATTTGTCACCTTTTTGTGTTATCTTTGTATTGTGCGGCACTGTAATGTCAGTGGGTACATGTGTGTGGACTCAAGCAGCTCAGTGTGTGGTTTTCTGGGTTATGACCAGAAAGTTTAAAGTTCACATAAATGATACCTTATTGATATTTTCCTACACCCAAAGGGTGGGAAAATAGGATGGAAAAGATTATAATTTTCTGCTGATTCAAAAAATGTTATTTCACAGAAGTGTTATTCCTTTCAACTGCAAAATCAGAAGAGCGATAACTCTGTAAGAGGGACAGAGTGAGACTGACCATGCAGTGAGCTCAGATATGTTAATTTGGGTTGTATGAGTACAGCCAGTGATGCCAGCATAAGAAAACCCTGCTTAATTCTTAACAATTGCCTGTGATTTATGGCAGAATTACCATGATGTAGCTCTTGGAATAATCTTAATCAAACAGGACTGGGGTGACATGTTGTCATACAAGAACAAAGATGACAGTGGGATAAGTAAAGAGGGGTATCATTTTATTCCCCACCTTCAAGGGTGAACATTTTTAATGGAGTATCTTGTAAACAATGTGAGATTTGAAGGAAGTAGCAGTTTCCTAGTCTTAGGAAAAAAGAAAGCAAGTCTTGAATTTTTGCATTCATTCAAATAGAGCTTGAATTGTTTTTTATAAGGGATCTTGGAACGTCATTGTCCCATCTCCGTGTCCTGTGGATGGCTCGGTGTGGGCTCTCAGATTTAGATGGGATCTCTTCCTGCAGCTCTCTAAAAGTAAGTATAGATGTGTCCAAATGACAATCTCAGATCTATCTTCAGTTGATATTCTTTACTTTTAGACTTCATTCTCCTCACCTCTTGCTTTTGAGACTGGCTTTGGTTTGATGCCTTGAATTGCATGAGTTGGTTTAAAAGATGCTACAATATACATTTTTCAAATGAGGTGTAACATTCAGGTCTGATCCTGCATTCGCCTAAAGCAGTATATGGCTAAATTAGCTCTTATTTAGGGCTCCAGCAGCCACACTCCATAAAATGTTCACTACCTTGCTAGTTTCATCCTGTGACATTTAGTATTTCAAGTATCAGAAAAGATTTTGCAAAGCTTCAATGTTACTTGTGCAAGCCCATGGTTTACATGTTTATTCTGTTTACTTCTGCTGAGGAACTCTACATTGCTTATAACAATATCTCTGACCTGAGCCAGCTGACCTGGCTGGATCACCTGGAGGTTTTGGACCTGGAAGGGAACAATATTGAGGACATCAACCAGGTGCAGTACCTGCGACTTTGTTGCAAGCTAAGCCATCTGACAGTGGAGGGCAACCTTATTTGCCTGAAGCCAAATGCAGAATCTGCAGAGGTGAGGACATATTGTGTTATTTTTTGTCAGTACTTTCTAGCTGTGAGTTGGAAATAAGAAATGTTTCTGCATCTTCCTATTGCATCATTCTCAACAATGTTTATTCTGACATGGGATGCATTTCCCACCTTTAATTTCTGTTGATTTTGTGGTCTCATCAGTGTGGCCTCCAAGATAACTACAAGTGAAATACAAGATTGCTAGTAAAGACTCAGGCCTGTTTCCCAGCAATATGAGGAAAAACTTTTTCTCTTGGGGTATGAGCACTGGAACAGGTGTCCCAGAGAGGCTGTGGAGTCTCCTCCTCTGGAGATACTCAAAACCCATCTGGATGTGATCCTATGCAGCCTGCTCCAGGTGAACCTGCTTTAGCAGAGGGACTGGACTGGGTGATCTTAGGAAGTCATTTCCCACCCCAACCATTCAGTGATTCTGTGGTGAGACACCAGTTTTTGAGGGGTTGGCATTTCTTTTGGAGGCTCTCCAGTCCAAAAGCAAGTTCTCCAATGCCACCATGCTCAGATGTTAAGCCCTCAGAAAAATAGTGCTTGAGGTAACTAGGACAAGCTATAATGTTGGAACTGCTTGTTACCCTTTCCCCTGAAAGCTTAAAATCAAATGACCAAAAAGACCGTCAGAAAAAGCTGAAGATGCAAAATAGAGTGATTCACCTCTTACATACTAAAATGATGGAACAGTTTCTGCTGAGGTATTTTGTTGAAGGCATGAAAGAGCCTCTGTGTCACAAAGATGAGAACACAGTAGTACGTGATCTGATTTGGGTTTCAGCACACTCAACAAGCAAAGCAAGGGAGATCTAATTCTACATGAACAGCCTCAGAGCTGTATTACTCTCTTTGACTTTCTCCTGCTTCGTAAAAAGCATTCTTGGGATATTAAAACACCAACATATTGCCATCCAGGTCTTTTGGAAGGTCTGTGGACACACACAGAGTTATGTAAAACACAGGTCTCAATAAGGATGGTGCAGTTCCCAATGGCACCAGAAACAGCTGATAATGTAGGTTCACAATCAGAGCTGATGCTGTCCCACTGTGACATATTCCATAGCTTTTCTGTGTATTTTAAAGAAGTTATGTTGATGCTGTTAATTTGCCTAAAAGGTTGGGTTTGGTATTTTTCCTGGGCTTAGACTTGAAAACAGGTGCTAACACTAAAACTCAATCATGCAATAGACATATATTTTAAATCTTGGCACTTCTTAAATATATGAGTTAATAGCATTTTTCAGATGTAATTGTTGGCTTGAGCTTGTTGTTCAGTAAAAGGGGCCATGGAAGGTAGCTCTTTAGCTTTCATAGTTTTCCTCTCTGGCATTCAAAAGAAAATATTATATACTTTCCTTTCTAGTTTAAACTGGTGGAATTATCCTTAAGGGACCACACTGTAACTGCTTGTAACCAAAATGATTTCTCCATTTTGGAACATTTCTCCCTTATGGAATATGCAATCATGAGAGGAAAAACATATTCCTGCAGTAAGGAAGCACTGCCTGCTTGTGATGGACAAGACATGCCTGCTTACTCTTTCTACTCCCATGGAGATAAATGCAGCTACTGACACTTCATATCATAGCTTCCTACCATGGAAATGGTGCAGTGTATCCTAACAGCACAGAAGGTCTGATTCTACTCTCTTGTAATTCCTTCAATCCCATGGAAGTGGGATTTTTGGAGGATTTGGCATCTTCAGTCATTAAGCGTACTTGTAACGGAGAAATGTCAGATTTCCCTTGGTTTGTTCAGGTGAAATGAGTCCTTGGGATGCTCTGCATGTTGTCCCGTAATGCAAGTACAACGAGCAGTGGTATGTGGTGGTGTGCCCTCCTGCTCTTCCCCGTGCAGAATGACTGTCTCTACTCCTGTGCAAGCAGGTGCTAGGATCTGATCAGTGAGAGATGCTTCTGCCCGAATTACAGTGCAAACCTTATGCCAAAGTCAGCGATACAGATTTTATTTAACAGTAAATGTGAGGTAGAGAAATAAAAAGAAAGAAAACAGAAGAGAGAGAAGAATATTGTCACCATCCATGGATGCAGTGGCGTCCCTGTTGATCATTCTTCAGCCTGGATTTCTTGGTGGTAGGGTCCCAATGTCATTCAAAACTTTTCATTCTTTACAAATTTTGGCATACAAAGGAATTAAGCATTAATTGGCTATTCGGTTATCTTATGCTGTTAATTAAATGATTGTCTCTTTTGTCTAATGCTAACTGGTCCACATGCTTCGTCTTTCTTTTCTTTTGAGCCAATGATCATGATGTTCCCCTGTCAAAATTACCTTTTAGCCAGTGGGAACTGATTTCAGCAGAGTTGCTGATTTGTCTTTCCTTGTAGCCTGTAAATTCTGCATTCTGCTTTTTTTTTTTTTTTTTTGTTTCCATTATCAGTGATACATTCTTCCCCACTTTGTTAACCTCCCCCTAAGTGTGAGATAACACCCAGACAATAGTACCACCTTTACCTTATCTACAGTCCCAGTTCCAGGTATCCACAGGGGAATATCTGGGTGCTTGCAGATGCAAATTTGTCCCGGGAATCGGCACAATGGTGTATTTCACACTGAGCTGTAGCAGAGGCAGACTGTGAGTTCGCTGCAGTCTCCCACCCGGTGTTGGGTGGGACGCATCTTCTGTGTTGGGAAGATGCTCTGCTCTCAGGTGGTCACAAAGTGAGGCCTGCCCTTCGCTGCTGAGAGCTTCTCCATGGACTTTGTTGCTTTCTTGATTTCAATGGATATTTGCATTTTTTTTTAGTTTATAGAAAAGCCATTTAGAAAAGAGTATATGTGGGCTTACTTTGGTGTGCCCTTGATGGCCAGCTCTAATTCCTCAAGCTCCTTCTTGTCGTCTGGCCCTTGCTAAAGGTCTGTAAAAGCTCTCCTATTTATTTACTTTTAATCTACAGAATGGTCCAGCTAAATTTACTGCTCTTTCTTCAGATGGCCTGTTTGCTCCCTGTAATTTGATTTTCAGATGAGCTCATCTTCCCCTGTTATCTAAACCAAGAGCAACAACTTGATGATACATTCTGCAGCCTCTGTAGCTGTAATGTAACATGAGTGTAACATGATTCTTCACTCCAACAGGACATGGCTGGGAATTGGCTGTAGCTGAGAATGGTTGACTCAATTTCTAAATTAAGATTAAAGACTTTGTTTCAGAAAATTAGTGTCTGCCTCTTAACAACAGCTAACACATTTTATTTGGTGAGCTCCCTCTGCCAACGTCAGTGCTGCATGATGCAGAGAGAGGGAGCATCCAAGCAGCCAGGCCCCACAGAAAGATTTCTGTTTATGACCACTCTGCATTGAATGAGGACTTGGCTTTGAGGAGGTTTCTAATATTTCATGCAATGTCCTGAAAAGCATAAGATTTGCGTGGGTGAAGCAATTGATTGATGGGTAGCTGTCCATTTGTATTCTGCCACTATCAGTGCCACTCTTGCCTTATACTTTTTTTACTGTATGCCTAAAAACACAATCCATGGAAGTGCTCTTGCTTTCTCCATCAGCAGGTATAGCAACACTCACAACATGTTTTCAAGCCTTTCTATCACCTGAGTATTGAGGCAAACACCAGGGAATCACAAAAGCAGCGAGACAGATTTGCTGAATGCTGAGGGAGCCCAGGCTTTCTGTGGGCATCAGTGGCCTTCTGTGCTTTTGCACATTACACATAATATAACAAAGACAAATGGCAAAGTCATCAGTGGGTAAACAGCAAAGGAGCCTTTGGGTGAAGGCTGTGTCTTTGCAGTCCTCAGGGCATTTTCATGATCAATTCAAGTAGAAATTATGTGAGGAGCAAATTGTATGGCAGTCATAGAAATTGAACAGTATTGTGTTACTGGAAGTCCACAGACTGTTAAATAAACTATCCCCTTTCTCAATTTCTCCAGGACCCAGACTACAATTACAGAGCAGAAGTAAAAAAACTCATTCCCCACTTGAAGTATTTGGACGGAATACCAGCAAGCCAGACTACTCTCCTTCCTTCCAAGAAGATGCATGAAGATTCTCTAATCATCAAGGAATCCATCAAGGAAGGTGGTTTAGCCAAAGACATTTCATCATTAGGTATGACAGGCTTCCTGTTGGGGTTCATTTTTCAAGTTTTGATGTGTAAAAAAAGAAAGATGAAGAGCAAGGTGACCTCTTTTAGTGAAGGGACAAAGGATGTTGTTTTCTTAACCTGGGAAGTAAGAAAGCTGGAATTCAGCAGATAAGAGTGCACATTTAAATGGAAGTTGTCCTAAGCTGGGCATCAAGATCAAAAATGCAGACAACTTCTAGAGCATCAAGCAAATATAGCAGTAGCTGGGACTCTGTACTTAGGGCTTGTTCTGCATGATGGGAAGAAGCAAAGCTTGGAATGGAATGTTTCAACAACAGCTGTTCACAGCTCTTTCCATGGTAACAGTCAATCCCCTGTAGCATGGATGTGGTAGGATTTCCTATTCCAGTTTCATGATAGGAAAGGCAGTCTGGTTACCACCCTTCTGTGGCAGCAACATCCCAGGAAGATTGCATGGTCTTGTAAGAAATCTGTTCCACTTTCTTTGTTATTAGATTAAGTTCATTACATTCATTAGTAGAGAATAAATGGTTTGAAAGTAAATCTGTTGTCCCCTTGCCTGCAGCCTTGGTAATAGTTCAGATGTCCATCTTTTTACGTGTCATGCTACATGCACTTTATCACATACTATTAAATATTGCAAAGTATTTCCTATAACTGCTCATGTTGCTTCCCATTAGTGTGGGCAATGCAGTTTGCTTCCCAGCCCCCTCCCCAGGTTGTGGTTTGCCTGCCAACTGTATTCCATTAAAAATTTAGTTTGTTTTGGAATAAGTACATACATTTGTCATTTATTGAATCCCTATGGGTCCAAATCATTAGTTGTAATAGTAGTCATGGTAGAGAAAAAATCCATTAAAATCTGATCTCAATAATTGTGCCTTGGCAACATCACCTGAGGTTCAGAAAACTAGTTAACAAAGTTTGCTGACAGAAGCAGTAGGGGTAGAGCACAAAATTGTGAATTCATGCAATTTCCTGGTGTAACCAGGTGTGTCCTGGTGTAACCAGACTTATATTCTTGCTGGCAGCTATAAACCAGTAAGTTCCTTAGGTCAGGTTCAGACATCCCAGTACTTTTTTCTTTCCAGTAGCAATGTTAATTTGGGTACTTTTCACATGGTGTGTTTCATGGGTTCATATTAACAGCTGTGCCCAAGATACATTAAAAGTCCCTAACACTCAACTCTTAAGGATATGGCCATATTATCACAGAGCTGATGCCTCAGTTTGGAGGTGCTCAACACTTTAAAAAGCACATTATTCATTTGGGCACTGGAATGAAATTCTCTCTCCCATGGGTTGTTGGCTGCATATGCTGCTCTTAGAGCTGTGCTGTGCTCCCAGAACAGCCAGCAGCTGAGCGGGTAAGAGGACTGTCTGCCTTTGCAAGTTTTTATATAATCCTTCCTGTCCTGTAGCATTGCAAAAACAGTTTTCACCTTTCTTTCTGTGGTAGAGAGCTATCTGTCTCTGAGGCAGTACTGGAAAAATCTATCACTGCCGTTCCCAGATTTCTGTAGCTCCTGGTACAGTTTCCCCTGTTTGACTGGTGGCTCTGGTAAGGTGTCATCACCATCTGCATTGTTCCAGGGCATTTAAGCAATGTATTTTAGAACTGGGGCCTGGGCTGTGCCTGCAGCAAGTCTGGGATGGTTCCCCTGTGAGCAGGTGGGCAGCAAATGAGAGGCAGCTTACAGTTATCCTGGGCATGCAGGCAGGAAAGCAGCAGAGCTCTGGATTGTCCAGGCTCACCTGGCAGCCAGGGGTGGCTGGTGAGCACAGAGCAGTTCCTGACCCATAACCCCAGCAGTCTGTCTTTGGTGCCCAGGAGCAGAAGAAGGGTGGGAAGGGATATCAGTTTAATTAGAGATCCCCAGATTCTGCCATGACTGTGCAGCACTGGAAGACCTCTTTCCTTCAGCTGGACCCATTCCATCATGTTTCTTGTAGCTGCAGTTACATATTTTTCTGTCCTCTATAGCTCCAGGTGCGCAGCAGCAGTCACCATACTGGCAAGGTACAGTGATGGTGTGGTTTGAAGCCTTGCATAACTGTGCTTGCACTAATGAAATCTCTCTTCTAGATCCATATCTTGGGGAAGTAGCAAAGCAGTCTGGATGCAGCCCAAAACCCCCAACAACTTCCAGACCTGGAAATGCACAGTGTTCTGCTAATGTAGGGATTTGTAGTGATGCCAGCCTCTTGGCCGGTGGCTGTCCTCTTCCAGATCCCACTGTTTTTCCTGATAAGCTGTTCACAAAAGATGACTCCAGTGATTTGACACATGGTAATGTATGTTTTTTTAATCCTGTTTTTCCCACACCTCCACCTCCTTCTGAATGTTATTACTGATGAAAGCCAGGGTGCTTTGAATACCACTCACCCCTGCCACTGTTAATCAGGTTTAGCATATGTTGTCTTCCACGAGACTCACCTGCTATAGTGTAGGCTTTCCTTTCTTTCCCCTGCAGCAGAAGGTGCGAGTCACCTGGGCTGCCCACTCCTCAGCCCCCCCACCATGCACCATGTGCTGCTGTCCCTTTTCACAGCCCATACCAACAGTCCTGCTTGAGTAACATCAGGCCATGGCAAGGTTCAGCCACGGGAATGTGGTCCAAGGTAGTCCTTTAGAGAGGTGTGGTGATGCACATTCACTCCCCCCTGGATCATGGGCTCAGACTGTGTGTCCTGCAGTCTCACACTACCACAGCATCGCTGCTGGCAATGAACACTTGGGTTTGGGTTTCCAGAGGTTGGTCCCTCAGCAAGAGGAGGCAGTTCCTTGACTTCACATCCCTACAAGCTAGCCCAAAACACAGGTCTACCACTGCCCTTCTTGCCCTAGTCACTTTGAAGTACCACCCATCCTTCCCTGACTCCTGGAAACACCGTGACAGTGTAACTGCACCAGCCCACAGACTGCAGATTAGATAGGAAGATGGCATTTGTTTCCAGGCATTGTGGGCTGCTTTTCTCAGATGCCAGTCTCTCCTCAGTTCTCTGCCTATGGGTAGGACCCAGGATGATGGATTAGACAAAGCAATGCAGAGTCAACAGCTGAGTGCACATTTGGAAATGTACATGGAAACCAAGTAGAGCTTGTCAGGGAATGAGACCATAATTTTACACACAATTTCAGGCAGCTAATACTACTGATAGAGACAGTTTCACCCAATGTTCACTGCTTCTTCTGACCCTTTGTTGCCTTATCTCTTGTTGACCTGATTTTGATCAAGATCCAGCTGAAAAAATAATCCAGCAGAACAAACAGAAAAGAACCCAAAAAATCATATTTTTTTAAAATCTGAATTTGTTCCCTGATCTGACTGACCACGTGTCCACACAAATATTTGCACCAGCACAACCAAGGAGGCAGGGCAGGAGCAGAAGGAGACAGATTCTGGCGGAAGCAGAGAAACTGCCTCTTAGCAGCAGTGTCAGGCCATGCCAGCTGACACCGTGAACTTACACCATGAAACACTATTACAACTTCCCGTCTATGGGAAATTATATTGGCTGACTTCAACAACAGCACCATTTGTTAAATGCTGGAGTCAAATGTTTTCTATTCTCCTGTTTTTCTTAGGACTCCGTCAAGTCATATGTGGGAACCCTGCCAAGGCCCTCCATGTGAGGAGGCAAAAGCTAGGTGTATGTTTTTCTTGTATACTTCATATTCCTGCATGGTCACCCCCATAACTCCTGGGACAAACTGAACTCCCACTGTGGCTTGTTGCAGCCCACTCTCTTCTGTAGCCCAAGAACCCCCAAGATGCAGTTGCCTTTGAGGAGGACAGAGGGTCCCCTGCCATCATGTTGCACGTGCCCATGTGTTAGCAGCAGTGGACCATCAGCTGCAAGGGAGCACATGAAAGTCACATATCAGCTTCTGGGGGCAGACTTCCCATCCTCCTGCAATGACCAAAGTACAGGATTGCAAAATTTGATAGTATTTCTACAACAGCTATAAAGAAAAAGACTTTTTTCAGCAGTGTTTGTTTGATGTTGGTGTGAACAGTCAGCTTGCTAATACTGCAAGGTCGCTCCTATTGGCTAAACAAACACAAAGCCAAAGTTTGTTCCTCTTGGCAGTGGGGTGGTGCCCCTGCCCTGTGGGTCAGCCTGCTCATTTTGGCAGTAATTCAGTGAGAGGATACCCATGTGTGTAAAGGGGAGCAGCCAGGCTTGTCATGGTCAGCTTTTGTGGCCCTGAGGTTCAACACATCACAGCTACACGTGAGTAGATTTAAACAGGCTGGGGTAAATCAGGGAGATGCACAGGACACAGACTTAATGCTCACAACAGATGTTAAAGAACTGCACAGAAATATTTGTACTGCCCATGTCTTTCTGCTACTACAGCTTCAGCATAGGAAGCTTTTCTGAAACAAATTTGAACATTTTAGTGAATTATTGTGTGCTAAGAACTGGGATGTGGAATCGAACTGTGGTCATATACTGAGTGATGCAGTTTCTGTGGTACTGGTCTTAATATGCTTATTGGTTTAGGTGCTATAGGCTTATATCCAGTGAAATATAAATCAACAATTTTGTCCCTGCTACCCTGGGTTTCTCAGGCTGTAATAGTACATGACTGGGGAGTGGGGCTTCTTAAAACTGAGGAGTTAGAAAATGATGAGGGATGATCTAAAAACTCAGAAACAACAGTGGGCTTTGATGTATTCTAAAATCCACATCTAGAAATGGAGCTGGGAAGAGTTCCCAGGGATATCTAGATAACTTCTGCCATTTCCACAGCCACCTGCTGTGAGCCCTTTGAAACCGTCTGGTCTGATGACAGAAAACTTTTGTGGCTCTGGAGGAGGAAGATATCTGCACCAGGAAAAGGTGTCCTCTGACCTGGGAGTATGGACGGAGCAGCACAAGGGGTGAGACCGCCGGGGAAATGTTGCCATGCAAGAAACTGGGCATTAATTTTCTGCTGCAAAAATAAAATCGGCGCTTTGGCCACCTGGTGGTGGTTTCGAGGGATGGTCTCGGCCTCCTGCCTTCCTGTCCCTGCTTTGGGCAGCAGTCCTCCCGCCCGGAGCATCTGCGGGATGGCAAGGAGGAAGACTCTCTTCCTTCTCGCTGGAGCACAGGCAGCATGGGCTCACTTCCTTAGCAAGAGCAAAGAAATGACTTTTCATAACTGTGAGCTGTTCTTGGCCCTGACAGTGTCTAATAAGGGGATGAGCTTTTCTGCAAGCAGCACATTGGCCTAAGCAAACAAAAGGCTGAAAGACAAATACCACCTTGCTGAGATCCCATAGATCTCACAGACAGGTAATGGTATTTTGGAAGTAAAAATGGTTTTATTTCTCTGAGCTTACTTCACTGGGTAGTATTTTAAATCTGCCCCACTTCACCTGATTAACTTTAAGATGCTTGAGATAATCAGACACAGGCATCTTAGATGGTTGATCCAATTAAAATTATTTTTCATATCTCCTGGAAGGTGTGAAGTAACAGTGGGTGACTAAATCCACTGCCAGGGTGTTTGCCTGAGTGTCTGCATTTGACCAGCTGCATAAACACACTCAAAATCTAATTAAAGGTGTGATACTTGATGTTGTCCAGGTGCCTGCAAACAGGTCAGCAAGAACAAGCCAGCCAAGCACTGAAGGTGAATAAAGGCGAAGACTGGAGCCTGGCTGACATCTTAGAAAATGAGTTGAGGGAGGCCTGTGATGAGGACCTCATTGAAAGGATTTCACTTGACCCTTCTTCCCACTCCTCCTCAGGTACTGGACCTAAGCCCCTGGAGAAGGGTTGGCATCAGTCCAAACACACGCTGTTTGTAGATAGGTGCATGGGAAATCCCAGTGTTTTATGGGATCTGGCATCTGTGCTCCAGAGCAGCAATTGGAAAATGCCATTGCAGAGCCAGACCCGAAGCAATCCATTCCAGTTTTTAAGCAGGACATTGTGGCCAGCTGTGTTGACCATCAGTTGATATATTTCAGCATGAATATGTGGAATTAGGAGGAGCAAAGGTGATTTCATACTAGCTTAGCATCACGTGTAGTAGAAGGACAGGTCTCTGTCTTTCACCTTGTGTCATTAATTTATGACAGTGCCCGGTGAGTCTAAAATATCGTCATTCCTACTGAGCTGTATTTGAACCCAGTTGGCAATGATGTAAATAATGACTGAGCTAATGATTAATGTTTAACTGAGCAACTGGGAATTCTGGAAAGACATGCAACCAAAAGGATGCATTCAATAAAAGGTTTAAAAATGGAACATGCTCTTCTACTCAGGAATAAAGCCAAAGGCTTCTCTGAAATTGCATTTACGTGAATGAAAGCAGAATTCCCACTCTTCACAACCTGTTGAATATTGTCTTTAAGATTAAAAACATCAATAATGGTTATTCCAAACATGTATCAAATAGAGGACCATATATAATTACAACTTCAATATTTTTTCTATTGTTAATAAAAAACAACTCTTTTTTTCTCCATAAGTAAAAGCATGTGAGTTTTCATTTTACATTTCTTTCAAGGGCAAAAATGGATCTACTAAAATTTAGAAAAATACAGTATATTTTGAAAAAAACCTGGAAATATCATTAAATTATTCAAAGCCTCTATGTGTATTAACAGTACTGTAAACAGTATCTCCATAACAAGAATAAAAGCTGTTTGGAAGAATTAAAGGAATGGCCTATTGGCCAGTGGCCACAGAAGTCTTGGATTATGATCTCATGGTCTCAATCTTAGATTTAATCTGATCTTTTTCAGATTTTATATGATTTCTTTACATTAAGTATGATGGTCTCATCATCGTTCTAGATTGACAAGACAACGTCACAAACATCTCACGGTGTAACAGTGCCATGCCCTATAGCACTGTGAAAGTGAATGATTGGGCATAGAGCTGTCCATCTTCTAACTACATCTGCTGGATGATGATGGAGCGGTTTGAAATCTAGAATTGTCTTAAGGTGGTGGGGTGACTGACCAGGATCCTAATGACACTCAGAAGTGTGTCCAGTCCAGTGTGAGTTTCTCACAGAAGAACTTGTTGCTGGAAGCGATTCTTCTGACCAGAAAAGGACAAGTCATCTGAGCAAAGCCATTCTTACATAAAAATGTTTGCAGCATCAGATCCATATAAACTGCATTTTTTGGAAGGCGTTGAATGTTATTTCAGGCTCTTGAGTCAGACATACCAGTCTCTCAGAGTCCTCTACTTAAAAACAAATATGAAGTTTAGACATTTTAAAAGCATATCGTATGATACAAACTGTTCCATGAAAACTTTTTGTCAGCTTTACCTAGTCAGTAAAATACATCCCCATCAACTGGGAGCCACAGAGATGAACTTTCTGGGCCTGAGTTTTGGTGGCACATTCTTTAGATTATGTTCCTGCTCTGGACCCTGCACATCAGGCACTTAGGTACAGTTGGTTCTTTTAATAGACAAGAGCAATTGGATCCCTGCTATTTATAGAATGGTTGGTTCTTTCAATAGACAAGAGCAATCAGATCCCTGCTATATTTAGAATGGTTCTAAGCATGTGTGCATGCTGGTTATATTTATAAGTCAGCAACAAGTTTTTTCTTCTCCCTGTGCTGCACATATTGCACGGAGAGAATTACATGGCTGAAACACAAACAGCCAGAAAGTAGTCCTGCATTCAGTGCGATATTTTCCCCAGCAGTCAGGCACTTATTATGAGATTCCATGATCTCTGCCTCTGATTTAAAAAGTGGATCCACTCATCTGTGATTATTCCTCTGCCTTGCACTTCGGATCACTGGAAGGAGTCCTAAGGTATTTAGAACAAGTCAGTGCAAACACTGGCAGGGAATGATGCAGGTGTGATCCTGCCTGAGGACAGGAGGGCAGGTGAGCTCGTGTGTGCCCCGTGAGCTCTGCCTGTGAGCTGCTCCACGCTTGGCACGTCACCAGCAGTGCTGGCAGGGAGGCTGACAGTGAACCAAACCGACTGTCAGAGGAAGCAATTCAACATGGCCAGCGTCACGACACATCTGCCCGCCCAGCTCCATCACACAGCACCTCCAAAACCTTTCACTCCCTGGGTTAGTCATGTAGCAGTCAGATGAACAGGTAAATCACTGTGCTTTCCACTCTGTTTCAGGTTCATCACAGACTCAGGAGGGTGCAGTGTTCTCCAACACAAAACGTTATCTAATTCCATCCCCTCCAAAAAACCCTTCACCTGCCTCTGCAGTGGATGTTGCAAGACCCTGGAAAACAAGGAACCACAGGAGTATAAAAATACCCAGCCAAGAAGAGGACAGACAATGTACACAGAAATGCCAGTCCAAAGCTCATCAAGAGAATTCAGCCCAGCCTCAGGACAAGGAGCCCGCTCTCCTGGGCCTGCACAGCACAGTGGCTGCCTCTGGATCCCAAGGGCAGCGCCAGCCTGTGGGCTGCACCAGCCAGCCAAGGCCCATTCCAGGAGCAGCAGCTATTGGGTTACCAAGGATCAGGTATGTGCACTGGAATGCATCTGGGGGAGGGACTTCATGGCAGGAAAAGGCAGATTTCTCTGTTGTCTCTGGGGTCTCCTGCTTCTTCTGTAAAAAGAATTCCTTTTATTTGTGCTGACATTTACCTTTGACTGTCTAAAGCTAATGAAACATTTTCCCATGTTCCTTATAGCTTGAGTATTGTAAATTTTGTATTTTCTTGAATAATAGCCCAGAATTTTGCTGTGTTCTTACTGCTCCATTCTCATGTTCCCCACCCAGAGCCAATGCTGTGTCAGTTGCAAAGATCTTGTGGCACTTGTTCAAAATTCTCCTCCAGTGCACTCCAGGAAGGGTTCCTGACATCCCACTTGGGTTTTTTCCATGACACAAATTCATGTTAGAATGAGCTCTGGAAAATAGTGATTAAAGAAGTGCCACATGCACTAAAACATGTTTGTTTCTGAACCTGTTTGCTGTAAATTGAGCATCATCTTGTTGCTTCTTTGAAGAAATACAACAGAGGGCTTGTGACATGATGGCTTGGGTTTGAATTGCTGTAGTCACTTTGGAGTCAGCACAGGCAGAGAGCATGTGCCTTGTGAGGGAAGCTCGTGTGCCTGGGGCTTCTCCCAGGCCTGGCAGCTTTTGGTTCAGTTTTCAGAGCTGCTGAGGAGAATGCAGGTATTCAAATCCAGTGTGCAGCCTCACCTCACAGTGTTTTCCTCTTTTCCTCAGGCCCATCATGGATGAGAGCCCTTCTAAAGAGATCAACCACCAGTACCCAGCTGCCTACTCATCCACAAAAGCCTCACAGAGGTTTAGGCCAATGAATTCTGCTTGGCCCCTGACTGCCAGGTCCATTCTGCAGTCATTGCCACACAAATCCACTGCCACAAAAACATCTCAGAACAGAAGTCCTCAGTCCTAGAAGGTACCCAGTTGCCAGCATGTGTTGGAGCCATGTACACAGTGCAGCCATGAAGGATCAATGCTGTCTTGCAGCTTCTTCTGCAAGCTAAACACAGAGCAGTTCAAACAATTAATGTGATTTGCCTCAATTCAGGATACAGCTGGTCCAGAAATATTTTAAGAGCAACCACTGATCAACCAATGAGCTAATGAATGTCTTATTACAGAAAAATGTGGTTATTTTTGCAACCTATACACACTAAAACAGAACAAGTCCTATCATATTTCCCCTCATCCACACCATGCCCAGCTCTGTGAGTCAGGCAGGGACACCAAAAAAAGCAGAGCATGGAGCCTGCTGTCTGTGGAGTGGGCTGGTGGAGGTGACCTACCAGCAGCCAGCAATGTGTCTTTTGCAGTCCTGGATGTTAAACATGCGAGGGCCAAAACCAAGGGCTTGAGAGGAAGTGCTGGCCAGAGCAGGTTCTAAGGGAAGGGTGTGTTGCCTGAGGAAAAGCCCAGAAAGGCTGGGTGGTTTGAGAGTTTATGCCCTCACAGGAGCTCACCCTATTCACAGGCACTGGAAGTTCTTGTAGGATGCATTGCTATGGGAGCAAATGCTGAACAAATGGCTTATCCCAATATTAACATGTTTGTTTGCTCCATAGCTACCTGGAAGGATTTGTCTCACTTCCACTGAATAGACATTGCATTCCAGAATTTCTCTAGCAGAGCTGACTTCTGTCACCAGGTGTCAGAGCATCCTCTGCATGTGCCTTTCACCTCCATCCCACTTCTAGCATTCTCAGATCAAATAGACTTTCCAATTTATTATCATTGGATAATTTCAAGTGATGATGCAGCAAAACAAGGAAGTAAGGGAATAATCTCTTTTTTTTTTTTCAATAGCACAATTGCTCCATGTTCAGGTAAGATCCAAACCATCTGTTTTAGTGACTGCAGTCTGTGAGATGCTGTTCCACATGACTGTGTCTTTTAACTTTATTGATGTTGCAGTCTGAAACCAAGCGTCATCACATTTTTTCCAGTTTAAATTACTATGTTAGATTACATTTTTAAAATCAGTTTATAAAACAGTAATTACACGATGAGTTAATGAATTGGTTTATCCTTCCTTTCTGCTGGCCATCTTAACTTAGAGAAGCAGAATAGACAAAGCCCTAAAACTTCCTTTTTGTCATGGTACTCCTTGCACCACTTTATCTTACAAAACAGTCTGGAGCTTGAAGTGAGTTTGCCCAGTTTTGGTGTGTCCTAGCAGAAATCATCTATCAAAAATCATTTAAAACTATGTGGTAAGTGATTTTATGCAATACTATGGATGCAGGCAGCATTTCACCCAGCAGCAGTGCCTGTGCCCTTAAATAGGCTTCTAAATCTGACTTTTTGCCAGTGTCACTGACGATACCATCACACACAAAAAAAAAGCTGGCCTTGTAAAGAAAGACACTGACAGCACTGACCCTTCTCTATATCCAGGGTCCTACAAGGGTGTGATGGGTAGAACTGTCTTCTCCAGACATTCAGAGCCTCCTTCTCAATCGACACCTTTCATTTCAAAAGGGTGGAGGGGAAAAAATATCAGTGGGTGTGTAAAGTGGATCTGGACATGAGCATCTGCAGAGACAAAACTCTTGGTACAGATCTGGAAAGTCTCGCAAAACATCTGTGGGCTCATCTCACAGCAAACTCCACGAGGCTCTGTATGTGCACAGAGCAAGAAGCTTCTCTGAGCTGGCAGAGAAGATGTGGAGAAATGCTCAGAAAAAAACAGCTCTGCCCTTGTGTGTGGGAAATGGGTGTCTGAGGGCTTCATCAAAACCATTTAACTCAGGGTTTCCTGTTGTACCTTCCCATCAGGCACCCCAGTGGTGACTCTCAGGGCTCTCTCTCACAGGGCTGCAGGCTGTGTGTGACCTTCAGAACAGCCACCCCACCCCTCATTAAACAGCTCTGCCCCACTGGTGCCTAACCAAGGCAGTCACATGCTGCATGGTGGTGTGGTGTGTTCACAGGGGCAGGAGAAGGTCTCCAGTCTGCCTGTTGGCCACTGCATCAGCTGGTGGCCCACCCATCACCTCCTCAGTGCCTATGGGTATGGATGGATGTGTACGACAGGCTGGGTGCCATCTGCTGTTGTGTCTGTGGGGACTTAGTCCAGAGCTGAGTGGCCAGCCTGTCATGCATGGAACAGCAGAGAGGCTTGCAAAGAGAGCAAGTTTGTCATCACAGCCCAGTCTGATGGGGCTGAGGGCTGGTGGCCTCCTCTCTTCTCTCTGCCAGCAGTTGGTGCACCTCATTTCCCAGGGCTGCCACGCTGTTTTCTGTTGCAGTTTCCAGGACAAGGAAAATAAACAGGGCCATTGCTGTCTGGACAGCTATAACAGATCCACAGGGAAAATTATTGCCCTGGCTCAGCCTCTGCTTGTTCGTCTTCCACCTTTTTCATCTAGAAAATGGAAAAGCCAGCCAGGTCTTTAATAGGCTAATTAGGAAATGTAAGGCATGATGGGCTATTTGTGAATTCAGTTCTCTTGGCCCAAAAGGGAAAAAGGGGAGTTTCATTGTGTGGGGTTTTTGTCACCGTTTCCTCTGTTAAAATCACACATTGGTCTCTTGAAATATAGACAAAGTCCTTTAATGAATGAGCTTATTCCCATCCCTGCCTCTGCAGACTCTTAATGTTTGTCTCAGTAGGATCCTTGCTTCCAGTTGGATGTGACCAGTTTCAGATGTACATTACCAGAGTCCATCCCCTCATTCTTGTAATGGGCCAGGAGCTGCTGATGCCTTTAAGTATCTCACTGCCTTAATGGGATTTGCTGCTGGCTGCCAAATTGATATCTAGTGTGTAAGCTGGAGAGAGGGGTGAGAACTGCTCCCTCACCTATTAATAAATCAGCACTGCAGGGAAGAATTTTCTGCTGGGAGCCAAGTCCCACCAGTACATGCTGCTAAGGGAGGGGGCGGTTAGATGGGAACAGCTGCCCTGCAGTGAGCTGGGCTCAGAACAAAGGGATTTGGCCCAAAGTGACAATGCTGCAGCATTAGCAAAAGCATGATCCCTCCAGGAGGCCTCTCAGCATCGCTTAGCTGGTGTCCCATGAACAGCCCTGCTGGAGTGACTGGTGCTGCCCTGCATACTGAAAGGCTCCACTCAGCCAGAACTTAAAAAAACATGGGAGAAAGAAGTAGGGAGCTGTGTGCCAGCCAGTTGTTTCAGTGACTAAGAATCATCCCTCCCCCTGAAGGGAGCATGTCTGGGACAACATTCCACCCAGACAAATGGGCCCTGACAAGAAAAGGTGGCTCCTGCTCAGCCTTGGTTTGGGTTCTGCATCTCCCTGCTTTGCAGAGCCCAGCCCATTGTGGACACCTTGGCATTCCATTTAGGAAGAGGCCAAAGGAGATGCTCACCCTGTCCAGTGTCCCCATGGCAGCTGTGTGCACAGCCCCAGGGCTCATGGCTGTTGTGCTCGTTGCCAAGGCCATTACTCTCATTGAAGGCCTGAGATTGCTTTGCACGTGGAACAAATTAATCTTCATTAAAGGATGAATAGAAGATATTTTCTTTGGCTGTCAAGAAGGAGAAAACACAGGAGATGTTCAGGAAGGAAAATGCCATACGTGTCCCTTCAAATTCACACAAATGGCAGGCCAACTCAGGATCATTTCCTGCACGGTTCCTTGGCTGGTTCAGAGCCTGACAGGCTTGTCTCCTCACCATGGGCAGTATCTGCACCCATAGGGGAGCACAGCTGCTTCTGGGGTATGAGTCAGATGGCTCATGCTCCAGCAGTGTCAGTCTCTGCACTGATCAAACAGGGTTTGTGATGATGGCTTAGATGTCTGCTCGGTACCATCTGTTGCCAGGTGAGATGAATCCTGCCCTGCAATGGCTTTGTCATTACACCAGAGAATCCTGGCCCTGTTTTTACTGTTTTGTTCCTCTAAAATTACCCCGGGAGATACTGGAAATGTCCTGGCTGAGAAAAAGGGTAAGCTTTGGAGAGTGGAGACACTGTGTGAGCCCTGGGGCAGCATGCCTCAGTGCATGTGGCTCTTTGAGCCAGTCTGGGAAGCTTTTGTACCTTCCAGAGGTGGGGGAGGACAGCTGCAGGACACCAAGGAGGGCTTGTCCTGGAATGAATTCAAGGTGCCAGAGCAGACCCTGAGCTGGTGGAGAGCTGGCCTGGTGCAGGTGCATCTGGGAGGGAGGATCTGCTGCCCCGTCCCCAGGAGAGGGGGAAGCCTCTCCTCAAAGAGAAGGATTATGGCTGTACTTTTGGCAACCAGTTCAGCCAGCTGGGAGGTGACCCAGGTGATGGAGATCCTACCCTGGAGGTCTCTTGCTGTCACCAGAAATAAAACAACCTTTCAGTGACAGCCTTGATCCAGCCTTAGGGGCACTGCAGTAATTTGTAATCTCTGCCCTGGTATCCTACACCCAAGGAGAAATTATGTGATCTGAGAGGAGGTGTAGCATGGTCTTACACGGGCAACAAGTGCAGGGGCTCACTCTGACCCATCTCTCAACAAGGTGTCCTCTCCACACTGCCATCAGAAACCTCATGGCTGTGCATCCCCAACTGGAGTTCAGTGATTGTTCTAAAACTATGGTAGTAATTGAGATAATCTTTTAAGCTGACAGGAGACAATGGCCTTGCAACAGGATCCTCCTGCATGGCACAGTGTAAACCAGAAAAAGAAAACGTCGGATTACTGGGTGGAGAGTTGTAGTGTCATTTATAGATATAAAACCTGTGCCTGAGGAACGGAGCGAGTGCAAATGCAGCCAGGCGGGCGCCGCTTTTGCTGGGTTTGGAGAGCAGGAGGAATGCCTCGGAAGGGACGCTAGAGGGAAGAAGAGAGTCTCACAAGTGCAACTTCCAAAAGCAAAAACACTCGATAACCAAACCCAGGCAGCTCCAGGCTGTTCAAGAGGCGTTAGGCATTCAGTGGGCTCAACATTTTCTTTTTACTTATCCAGCATCCAGTGTGCTGGCCTCGTGCGGTGCCCCAAATGCACTGTGCTGGTAGTGGCTTGCTGTATCACAC